CTGCTCTCACAAAGGCTAATCTGAGTGAAGGAGCACAGCACTCTGGCTGCCACATTCTTACACACAGCAGCCTGGGGCTTGGAATGATTGGCTGAACAACGCCGTGTCACACAGATCTGGTCTGTGCTTTGAAGCAATACTAAAAAGCAAGCCACAAGTGCAAGGGGCCTCCAATTAACAGCAGAGAGCAGGGCTGAGCAGATGCATTTAAATCCTTGAAGGAAACAAGCACACTTGCAGCCTGGGTTATTTCTTGCCCCAGCCAAGAGCACTATCAATCCAGAGGAGAGTTCTCAACATGTCTGTGCCTTGCTTTCCTTCCTACACAGTCAGGAGAGCCACCTTTCTCTCCTACTGCAGCTGACTGCAAAGACGGCTCCATCAGTGCTCCAGAACACACTTCACTGTAGAAGCACCAAAGCTCAAGCTGCCTGTGGCTGCAAGCAATGTCAGAGCTTCACAGTCAGGCAGCTGGAGTAGGACTGGAGTAGGTCCTGAGGTACCTCTCGATGTCAGCAACTCTGGCCAGGCACTGACTGGCCCAACACAATTCTCTTTTCCACTCCAGTGATGCAAGGCAGACAGGGCTGAGATGTCCAATCTTTGCTCACAAACCCACAATCCCCAGAGAGCATCACTCACCTCTGAGTCCAGCTATTGCAATTCCACATGGCAAGAAAAGACACTTAAACCTTTTTCCTTTCTTGTTCTTATACTACACCTTCCCCACTGACCACTGCCAACCTCTCCTTCCAGCCTTCCACTCCAACCACCCACGCACAGCTCTATGCAAGCACAAGCCTTCCCCCCTCTCCAGTCTACAGACAGCATTAGAAGAAACTGGTCACAACAAGAGAGGTCTCTGAGGCATAAATGCAAGGCACTGCCTCTTGCAATGGCTCTACTCAAGGCAATGCACTGCTTATGAACCAGAGCTTGAAAATCTCTACAGTGATAGGGATGGGAAAGATCTTTTGCCCTGTGTTAACTTCGCTGTTTTCTCACTCCTCCTCCTGTTCAACTTGACATCTAAGCACCATTTCACTCTTCTGTACACCCCTTTCCTTGCCATGGCCACACACAGCAACTAAACCAAGCAACCATCCTGCCAGTGCCTGGCTAAAGCTGCCCCCAGACAGCAGTCAGGGCAGGCACTCCACACTGCCCTGCCAACACACAGAGCTCAAGTACCAGAAAGGCAAACTCCATTTCAATGGCCCATTCAGCTCTGCTAACTTCTGGAGACAATCCACATCAACTCCAATTACACACTCACAACAGCTAACAAGGAACTGGTCAAAAGAAAAAAACATATATCCACAGGAAAGCACACTGTTTTCTTTTTCACATGGATTCTAAGAAAGTAGACACTAAAAGCATCAAGCTAACACTGTTCTTCTTCCACCCCACAGAGGGAATCAGCTTTCACAGCAGGTCCCAAAGCCACAGGAGAGCATGCAGGGCACACCAGATTGCAGCTACTTTCATACTACTTTGGTCCCAGCACTCAGCACTGTGTATTCTATGTACCTCCTACCAGTTCCATTCTCTTGCACAGCCCTGTTATAGCCCTTCACACACAAGAAAAAGTTTTCAGCAGGGCACGTAAACTTTATTAAACTACATATAGAACAGGTGTCCCTTTAAAGCATTACTCTTTTCCTCTCTAAAAGGCACATGTAGCAGGTTCCTTACTGTCAGGTATAGACTGAAGTGATGAAAGTAAAACACATAAATGTTTATTAAACCTTTGTTGCCATTTACACCACCAACTTTCACACCCCAGTGCCAAGCTGTTAACGAATTCCCATGCTGTTCCAGAAGACATTTCACAGCTCCTGTCAGAAAAGGGAAGTTTCACGAGGGCAGCACTCGCTGGAAAAGTCTCTGCTCCCACACCATCAACAAAAAATCACAATCAGCTGTTTGTGGAATAAATCTGTTCTGCCCAAACCATGTGGGAATAGAGAGCTTCTTCCAGGGGGGCATGGGACCACCTTCACATATACCTCCTGATACATTTTTGTCCCAACACTGTTTGTGCTAAGACTTATCAATTTACCGACCAGCCAGGAATAAAAATAATCCGTAATAAGCCAAGTGACCACAAGCCAGTACATGAGGCTCAGGCCAGGTTACCATGGTGTGTGTGTTACAGCTCAAATGCTCAGACACAGCATCACTCCTCAGGGAGCTCTGCAGCTCCAGGCTGCTGCCCAGCACAGGACTCCTGAGGGAGGCACATACCATCTACCACTCTGTGCCATGTTTCCTGTCTGCCAGCCAGGCTCTGCTGTGCTGCTGTACAGCTGGGAAGCTCGAGGCAGAGCCCTGCACACAAGGCACACACCAACTCCAGCCTCGGCAGCTCTGCAGGCTGCCATGGGGAACTGCAGCAAAGGCAGAGTGAAATCCTACAGCAATTCTCTCCTCTGCCACAGCTCTTCTTTTCTCTCCAACTAGCTCTTCAATCTGCCACAGAAGACCCTGTTCTAAAAAGAACAGGCAAAGGCAAGATGCTTCTTGCAGGATGAAGTGAAACTGCCATTCCCCTCAGCATCATGGGGCCGAAATAAAACACTTTCCCAACTCAAAAGGTGACAATTGTTACATACTAAGTTACAGCTTAGACAGCTTTTACAATACCAAAGCTTTGACAAACTCGTTTACTTTGTCCTTGAAGGATATGGGGACACCTCCTCATGTCACTGTTTTGCAGAGCATGATGCTCAGAGCATTTTGAAAAATGCACCTGAAGACCTTCAACCTCTCACACAGATCCTGTAATTCAGCTGATCATAAAAAAAGAACTAAGTGACCTTTTATTAATATGTTTTGCTAATGGAAATAAATTCCAAGCCTAGAACAGAAACAGACTTGTCCTACAACCATAATGAATAAAGTAAATAGCTTTATTTTCCCCACCTTTTTAATGTCAGAAAGTTGTGTTCCCAAATAAATTGTTGTAATACCAATTTAGTAGCACGATTCTGTCAACTCCAGTTAACAAATTAGGGCCCTGTATTTATAAATTGTCACATTAAACAAAACAATCTCAGAAATCTATTGGCTGTCCTCGCCTGTACCTCACCCCTCAGCTTACAGACAGTTAGAACAGAGGCAAGATACTGCAGAACATGCTGCATACTTCAGCTTCATATCTCAAGATCAGCATGGCCTGCAATATTTGTTGAAGATGTCTAAAAGATATTGGTGGACTGGCCCTTCAGTGCGAAGGCAAATAACCTGATCAAGACATTTGTTAGCTGATGGATGTTTAAGGTATTTTCTGTCATTTGCAGTATTATACCATGAGATGTTAGAGAAATGTAATAGCTGCATTAAAGATGAAAATACCTTAGTCTTTTCTTTTAGACTAATTGTAATAATTAGAGATTCAACTTCTATTTTCTAGTGAAGTTACTGGAGCAGCACATCAAGCGACAGATCAGTATCTGAACCTGCTCACTGTTAAAGCTCAAAAATGCAGTGGCCATTTCCTCCCTGCACAGTGACTAATTTCCTTCATGAGTCAATCTGTCTCCTTCCCTCTATTCTCACAACAGAGCGATGCCACAAAAGCAAGGCTCCCCCAAGTGAGATGCTCAGCCTGTGTGGGTCACTGCACTGGATGACATGCCCCCTTGGAGCAGGTTTTCTGCAAAGCCCATTCCCCTTTGGAAGTGCCAAGAATCAAATCTTGGCCATCTAATGCAGCATGTTCCACATGTTTGCTCGCAACACGTTGAGCAACTGTGTTAACTGAGATGGATAGTGCTGTCAAACAGAAAGCTGGCTCACCAGGATGGAAACAGTGTGATATGCTGACCTTCCACATTCAGGAAAAAAGAGTCCCTAAGATGACACAAAGCATTTCGTATTAAAAACCAAAACAACTGTCTTCTTGCAAGACTTTTACTACCATATTGTGTAAATAAACACATGTACATAAACTCTGACTATATGAAGAAAATGAGCCTCTCTCACAGAGCAGAATCTGACAGAGGAAATGAATCATTATCACCCTGCTTGGACAGAAGGAGCCCAGGCAATTAACCACTGCCTAGAACTCCTGGATTCAACACTACCATTGCTCCTTCTGTTCCCATGTTCAAATACCTAACTATACAAAGCAACTCAAATCAAAAGACAAAATTCAAATCCCCAGGCAAATTGCTTTTAAACTATTCTAAATGTGCACAGGTTTTATTTGTGATATGGAGAGAAAACAAATTTACAGGCTTCTCATACTAAAGAATAAGTGCTGAAATAACTTGTTTAGTATTAAAAATCCTCTTGAAATTTGAAGTTCATTCTGGAAAGATTTTTCCCAACCCACCACCTCCTGCCCATCTCCCTCAACATTACGATTTTAGGTTTGGGTTTTTTAAAGCTTATATTTTGGGTAGAGAGAGGAAAGCTTTATTTTGAGATTTTGCTGCTAACAGAGAATAATCTCTGCGTGGAAGGGACTATAGTGCTTTACAAAGGGTTTTGCAGCAATATAGTAGGTAAGTGAAAACAGCAATCATCTGCACATTTAGTCCTTCAACTATTTGCCATAAAGACAGCATGCATATATATGAAACCATTATCTACAATGCATAATTTAAAAAATGCAAGACTACAATATGCTGTTCAAAACTGCCCTGATACAAAGAAAAATACTGGATACCATCTGGCTGTGCACCTAAAGGTTATATCTTCTGTGCTGACTTCCTCGAAGCAGCGACCTGACTCATGGTGCAGAACAAGTGTGTCATGAATATCCTGACTGATCATTATCAACAGATTTCACACTTCAGCAAGATCTAGCTAATGCTTTCTAGACAGGCTAAAAACGTAGGGCTTGTTATACCCCTAGTTTAGGATTAAGCAATTAGCACAACTGATATAAACCCTCAAGTTTTGCTACCGATTTTCTTACTTTTTCCTTACATCAAACAACCTCAGGTGCTGTCTTCTGCAGTGCAAAGAAGTGGGAAAAAACTATTGAATACCTTGTGCCTGAGCTGCAGAACTGTGGGAATACCCCAGAGCCAGGAGCGCTGTCTCCACCAGCTGGCTAAAGAGCACATCTTTGCGAACCAGAACGAACTCAGCATGCTCTTCTCGATTATCGTATTCAAGAGAGGCGTCTGACTGCTCCACCACACAAAAGACTGGAATCATCAAACCTACATGGAAAAAAACACCAAAAAAAAACCAACAAAGCATCAATAAGAGGAACATGAACTGTGTCATACATGTCTAATTAAACTTGTACATTAACACACCTCCTAGAAGACTTGTCGTAAGTGGAAATCTGCCTTTCTTCCTTGTGGGATAACTTTTGTTTTCTTTCCAAGGAAAATACTAAAGTCTCATCACTTGACTCATTTAAAAACCACACTAAAAGCTCTAGAGAATACAGTTCAGGAACAGAATCATAGCCAGCACGAAGATGAACAAGACTTCCTAATAAGACTTTTTCAACATTGCAGAAGTCTTCTACAGTTCTATGAATGTTCCTATTTCTTTCAAGTAATTTCTCCACATTCAACCATATGAAAGCCTGACCCAAAAATGCCATTTCTGCTTCTCTCTACAGAGTGAATGTATGGAGAAATCAGCAGAGGCTGGTCCCCCTGGGACCTGGGGGGACCCTGGGATATTTGTGCATTTTCAGACCATGGCCAGGCTTCTCACTGTACAAAGAAAATACTTTTGAATTGATTTTGTTGAAAATTATAATCTTGTGTTAGCAGCTGATGGTCACTCAGATACAGAGAGACCAATGTCTGTCTTCCCACTGCATCCATAAGGAGTGAGAGAACAACTGTTTTGGAAAAAGAATCAAGGATGAGGAGGAACCACAGAAGTGAAAAACTCAGGGGGTGGTCTGGATTCAATTTTGTTGTGTTTTATTGCAAATCTACTTTTGTGGTTACAGGATCAAGTTATCTATGGCATTAGATAAATTGTGAGGCATGAACTTTAAGGGATTCTGTACTACATGCAGTAGAGAAAGGTGCCAATTTTCAGGAAGCAGCCCCACAGTGCATCCCCAGAAGGAAGAGGGAACAGACTGAAAACCTACAGAACTGCATGACCATTTCCACCACCTGCTACAGGCCAGTCTACCTCCAGTCACAGACACTTTTTAACTGGTTACATATCACCTGTTAGTCCCTAGGTAAACTAGAAAATATTGGTGCAGAGAACAATCTCAGCCTAAAGCCATTTTCCAAATGTGCCATCTAAGGCTCATAACGTCACCAGCAAGTTCACCTCTAAATCCTCTTCTTCAGAATGAAATATAATCACTTTCAGCAGACAATAACTACAAAAAATATCTGAGTGCATTTATGAATTTCAGACACAAATCACTGTATTCCTGGACCATACACTTCTTTAAGAGAAAAAGAAGAAAAGCAACATTTCAGTTGTCCTTCACGAAGTCTATTAAATATTTTTGAGCTACTGTCAGTAGCTTCAAAACCTCATATCTACAAACCAATAGCTATGTATCCCTTCGGAGGAGTCACCCTCCCCTGAAATAAACAGAGTTTATTGACAAAGAGTCATATCAGTATCTGCTAAGGAACTTAAACACTCCGTGTCTTGAATTTCGAGAAACTAGATCTACTCTAAAATATATTTTAGATACACAATTCTCAGTGACTTATCTAGCACAGAGTGGCTCTCAATTTGACATCCTAACTGCAGAAGCTACACACTACAATATGCACTTGATGTGTTTCAGTTCTTTGTTTTAAAACACACCTCAAAATAACATGAAAGAAGGTTACAGCATCACATTGATACTGCTCCCTCTTCACTGCTTGATTCTGGGTTAAACTGATGCATTTTGCAAGTTCAAGCAGCCAAATTATAACACATAGTGCTTAAAAAAACTCAGTGAAAAAAAAATCTCTAGGTGCTTTCCTGAAGAGACAGCACATGGGTGATCATGTTCCTCAGAAATAAGTGACAAGATTTCTTTTCCTATCAAAGGTTAAAATTTGAATTCTATTTGTCCATACACCATTTAACTAGTTAAAACAAAAATAAGTCTCTTTAAGTGACAAACTTCCAGTCCTGTCGAACATACAGGCTGTCACAGCACTTTTGATGGGGCTATTAATGTCTTAGCAAAAGATTAAGATAATTGGCCAAATGCTGAGGCTGTAATATCAGTCGTGTAAATTACATTTTGGCAAGACAGAAAAGGTGGTGAAGCAAACTGATGAGAGGGATGTCACACTGTCTTTTATGCTCCTGCTGGATGCTTTCCTTGTCATACAACAGTCTCTCCTTTTCAGCACAGGAGTAGCACCTATTCTCTGCACTCATTCTTTACTGTCTGAGTACAAACACGACATTTCAAATGCAAGAATGGATGCCATACATTATATCACTTTATGGACAGTACAAAGGACCCCACACAGCTCCTGCCCATGATGACATTCCTGCCCCTTCCTGCTGCCCATGTTTGCAGGAATCCTGCTAAAGAAACAGCTTTTGGAAAAACATATCTGCACTCAGTGACTCAGAGTAGCTGATAAGCCGCTATTAGTACCTTAAAAACAGAGAGCAAAGGGCAGGTTACCACATTTGTCTGATGTGATCTGATACTGACCTATTCTCATGCCTCTCACTATAGCACCTGGAATCTTAATACTGATTTAAAAAAATAAAATAAAAAGCAACAGTAATCAAACTTATTTCCAAGTCAACCTCACTCCAAGGAAGTTTCAACTGCTTTGCTCTCTATTTCACATGGGAGAGTTAAACTGTTGTATCTCGAACGAACTTATTGCCTCGAACTTCTCTGTTTCTTAATGTTACCTGAAAATAAATATGCTTTCAATACATTAGAATCAAAAGAAAAAACTTCTGCAGATGCCAGCATGATCCTTACACGCTGATATACACCATGGTTTGCTCCTACATGCATGTATTACACCTCCAGCTCGCTACAGGGCCCTTAGAGAGAGCAATACAAGTTAGTCACTACTCACTGTCATTCCAGTTGAAGAACTTGGAGCAGTACTCAGAAAGCTGGAGACCAAGCATCCATAATAGTCTCAAATGCAGTGCTACTGCAGTGCAAGCCAGCCTTACTCATAAACCCTGGAACTCCTCAGCCCCTTCCCTAAGGAGGGATCAGCCAGAATGCCTGTGCACATGCACCGAGCGGGCTGAGGCCCCAGCACTGAAGCCTGTGCACCCGCTCTCCCAGCTCCAGAGAGGCTGCGGGCAGCGATGCTGCACGCTCATGGTACATGACACACAGCACTGCTTTTCACACAGGGAGAAAACAAGGAGCTTTCCGAGGGCTAAAAAGGGAAGAGTTTGTTTCCTTAAAAGACAAACACAACACTAGTATGTGCACAAAACATTACCAGCAATCGCAAATCACACTACAGGCTTTCGCTCTTTGATTTTGATTAACGTAACTGACTCATGAACAGCTCTTTCACGCTTCCCGCAGAGCTTTGACCCCATAGAGATGGCATCTCCATAAAATGTCAGGGGAGCACAAACCAAGATCTACAGAAAGGCTTTTATAAGGACATCCATACACAGCAAGAATTCCATCTACCCAATGAAAGAGAGCAGTGAAAAACTGTTCCCACCATTATCCATAAGAGCAGAATGATTAGCAGCAACCAATACCTCTGTATAACATACACATTTAAAGCAAATCAGAGATGAGATTTAAGCTCTGCTGTTGCTTTCATGGAAAACCTGCAATGTACAGAGAGTCTCTGTAAACATATTTGCACTTTTTGCCAACATTCTTCTAAAGGCCAGAGAAATTAAGAAGAAATTAAATATGTATCAAAGAGACCAAATCACATTTTCTCCTCCTTGCCCATTTTAATCTATAATTTCACTGAGCATTAATTAATTCTTTTAAAATTAAGATAGATATTTCATTAAAGTGAAAATCTGAGATAATATGCTGCATACGGCATTCATTTTTACAAAAAAGGACTTAGAGCCAGTTAAAAGTATTATCAACCTGCAACCAGCTCCCTGGAAAACATTTTCAGCTGTAAGACTTCCAAGTCAAAGTTGCAGATTTCTAATGACAAACTAGAAGGAAGAAAAGAAAGCAGGTATTAAAAAGTCCTGCACTGTTTCTTTTGCTTATTTACAAATAATACTTGGTCCATCACAGGCCTTTTTAAATAACAGATGTGATATTACTGGCACTTCTTTGCACGGTCTGCTTGCACAGAAGCATCACGGGCAGAGTGGAAAGCTGAGAGCTCTTATTGCCACCCACCTCTCCAGCCATTAAGTAGGGAGCTTGTGCATCCTAATAAGTACAAAATGAAGATCAACTAGAAAGAAAAAGCACCAATAAAATTCATGTCTTTTTAGATTAAAATCTCTTTCCATCAGGACAAGTTTTGAGTCCCATCTAGGTGTTATTTAATTTTATCTAATTTGAACAATTTCCAAACATCAAGTTGATTAATTTCAACAGTATGGCGTTATGGAAAGACTTACTGTACAGGGGTTGTCTAGCAGGGAATTAATAAAAAAGCCAGCTCTTTGCCCTGAGTAACATGAGGTTTTAAGACTTCCCAGATTTCTAGTGGGAATACTTCACAGCACAAGCATGTTTTCTTCTGGGAGTGAAACCCACCAAAATTATTAAAAACTGAGATCAAATGGTGGTGTCAAACCCAAAGGAAATAATTCTACAGTGGAGAGATTTTTATCAAGTGAAGAAAGTGGAAAATAAAGTTTTTGTTGTTGCTGTTATGTTTTGGGGTTTTAGTTTTTGTTTGTTGGCTGTTTTTTTGTTTTGTTTTAAACAGAACAGACACACATGCAGAGTAATCTCCCTCAAAGACAAAGCAAATTTCTATGGTTTGAGTTCAGAAATCAGGACATCTACTTGAAAATTCATAAACTACTGAAAATTCTTCATTACTTTATATAGAAAACATTTTGCCTAGCAGAGACTGTAACATGGGCCACTCTAAGCTGGCCTTTCCATCACACAGAAAAAAAAATGTAGGTAATAGCAAGAGCAGAATCCATAAATGATTATTTCCACACACACCTAAAAACCACTGAAGTATAACCAACTCTGGTCAAACTTCTAAAATGAGACCTTACTCTACAACAGAAACTAAGAAGCCCAATTAGCAAAGCATGGATTGTCTTGAGAAAA